TGAACACAATATGCATTGCTGCTGAAGCGGTGCAGGCAGAGCTGGACATAGAGCCTGTGGGGACTGGCTGGGAAGCCTTCCCCTCTCCCAGCTCCAATGGCACTACCAGCCAGCCTCCAGGAAAGCCTGGATAACTCTCCAGTTTTTAATTTTCTCAGGGGTCCAGAGCTAGGAAGATGCATGTGTATTTCCCTTCTCAGGAAAACCCAGGACATCACAATCCATATGTAGAAGAGATGGATAGATAATTATCCTCTGGAACCTTCCTTCAGGGTCTGAGAAGCATCTCCAAAGTCTAGGGAAATCAAATGATTGGAGCACAGGAGATATTATCTGCTCCTGTTTTAGCTAAAAAGGAAGGCAGACACAGGAAGACACTAGCTGGTGATATAAATGGTATCGTTGAATAAGATCCAGTTTCTGAGTGAGCTGCAGCTTGGAAAAGCTGGAGACTGGCCAGCTGACATAGGCTGGAGAGTACCTTCAGATATCTCAGGAAATGAGGTTGCCCAGTTGTTTGCTAAAACCTCTTTCTTTTGTGAATGAAGGGGGAAGGAGGAAAATGCCCAGGGCATTTGGCCACTCATTAAACAGTATTGTGCCCTGGTTCCAGGGAGCACGTGAGTAGAGGGAAGGCAGCCATGAGGTTGACTCTGACCCTTTGTACTAGTGTGATAATAATTGATAAATTGATGCTACCTAACACTTACTGAACCAGGCTCTTTAATACTTTAGGTATATTAATCCATCTAATCTTTACAACCACCTGGTGAAGCGGACCCCAGGATGATCCTTTTTAGAAAGGGTCCTCTTTTAGATGAGAAAGTCGTCAGAGAGAGGATCAGCACCTTGCCTATGGTTACAAGATTGGTAAGAGCAGAGGTGGGTTTGATCCAGACATCTGACGTAAGAGGCCATGCACTTAACCTCTATGTGATGGAAGGCTTGATGAGTACATGGGATGGGCCAGTCATAGCACAAACAGAAAAGTAATATGGAAGAATGTGGCCAGTGTTTCCCAGGTGAAAGAATGATTGGAGTCTGCACTCAGTGCCCTGGAAATGGGTAATAAACAGAGACACACATGCTTATAACACTGTGGGGTAGGTGAGTCTTCATCTCCAAGTGGGTAGCCGTTCCTGTGTTGGTCAGTGGAATCTTCACTGTGGCCCAGGAAGATTGAGAGTCTGAGGGAAAAGGATCCTGTATGACAGGGAAGGCTGGATGTGGTCACACCATATCAACTTAGGAAACTCAGATTCAAAAGGTTTCAAAGATCATTACTTCATTATCCCACAATCTAAGGGCTCAGAAATGTTGCAAAGTATGGGATTGAAATCAGGTCCTCTCAGTCAGAAGACACGGGGTGGCACTGAACAATGTCTGTGTGACTCAGAAGACTATCTTGCTGAGCTCAGACTTAAGAGATCCAAGGAGGACAAGAGAACCCTTCTCAGGACACACATAACAGAGTGAAGAGGACGAGTAAATAGTGTCTGGGTCGAGAGCCCAGAATGAACTGAGGCTATTGAGGACAGTGGAGGGAGAGCAAAGGGCCCCTTAAGATTGCATGGGAACAAGGGGAACAAGGGCTGCATACATCCACTGGAATGTCTGGCTGAGAACCGTCTCTAGTGACAAAGGGCATGGGTAGGTCCACGTAGGAAGAAGAAGCAAGGCAGCACCAAGCTGCTGTGCCTGTGATCTCCTGACCCGGAACTCACTGGCCAGGGCATGATGTGACCCCAGAGGTGACATCATACATCTGCTCAGGTCATCTGAGAGCTGGATCACAGGGGAGGTGCATGGAGCCTGGAGCTGGATGAGACCCAGAGTCTGATGCTGACCCTGGGAAAGGGCCTGTGAGTCCTTCAACAAGAAGAGACGAGCATCAGGAGCTGGCACAGGCTCACTGGGGACAGGCCACGCCAGGCACATGTCATTTTCGGCTGTGAGAGGCTTCAATCTGGCAATGTCATAGACAGAGTGGACCAGTTAGAGGGAGCCCCAGATAGAATTTTGTAGGACATTGTTTGCACTTGTGTGAGTGACCTTACCCCAGCAGTGCTGATGCATGAGAAAGAGGTGACCCTCTGGGAGCTTGGTCATGCCAAAGGTCCCCAGCTAGTTCAGTACCCTCGTCTTCTCCTTTTCTTCTTCTTCTCCTCCTCAATATTATTATTATTATTTTATTTAAAAAAATTTTAATGTTTATTTTTGAGACAAAGAAAGAGACAAAAAGAAAGAGCGTATGTGTGCGAGGGGCAGAGAGAGAGAGAGGGCTGAAGCAGGCTTGAGGCTCTGAGCTGTCAGCACAGAGTCCGATGCAGAGCTTGAACCTATGAACTGTGAGATCATGACCTAAGCTGAAGTCAGATGCTTAACTGACTGAGCCACCCAGGTGCCCCAATATTATTATTATTATTATTATTATTATTATCATCATCATTATTATCATGTCCTTTTCTTTCTCCTCCTCCTGTTGTTCTCATTATTATGATTAAGATTTGAATAATAAAATTGATGGAGCATGAAGATGGGTGAATGTCTAACATAATGATTGGCAGAATCCAGGCCCATATTGGTCTAGGAAGCTGGAAGGCAGTGCTGCCTTTAGCAACGTGGCATTTGTCAGGTTGGAGATTAATGCCCTTGGGTTGGATCAGTTGGATCATGCAGCTTCCCTTGTGTGGTTATCATGAAAATTCCATGCAATAAGGCATACGAAGCCTTTTAGCATCTCTGGCACGTATTCACTTACATAGTCAATAAACAGTCACTTCTATTCTCATATCACAAAGCATCCCTGGTAGCAAATATTTCGCCCTGCAGTAAGAGCCCATATTCTAAATTTGAATGCTGAAAGCAGGGTTGTGACATCTGTGGCTCAGGGCACTCCAGACACTTCTGAAAACTAGGTCTACATGACTGTGGTTGGCAAAGCTGTGAAGACAGCCCAGTAGAGCTGTCTGCAAAGGGATGTAGGGGTGCAACAGGACTGGGAGGACAGCAGGGTGGGCTCCAGCCCAGGCTCGGGGAAGACATTGTATGGTTCTAAAATATAATCTGGAGGGCTGTCTGAGGCAGACATGGGTGGAGAAAGAGAGAAGGGTTAGAGAAGGGATGTTTGTGTGTGTATGAGTATTCCAGTGTGAGTGTATGTAAGTGTGTGCGATCATATGTGTGTGTGTATGTGTGTATGTGAGTATATGTGTATTTGAGGGTGTGAGTGTAGCGTGTGTGAGTACATGTGAGGGTGTGAGTGTATCTGGGTGCGTGTGCGTCTTTGTGAGCTCAGAAGCTCAGCAGTGGGGCTTCAAGCAGACCAGCTATTCTTTGAGGATGAGGGAGAATCGGCTTCATCTCAAGTAGTCACACACTGGTAGATCTGGAAAGCACAGTGAGATAATTTAGCACCAGCTCTAGTTTATAGACGGGACATTGAGGTTGAGAGAGGTGGGATGGTCAGTGCAGGGACACTTGGTAGACTGGCGTGGTCGCCTCTGCCTCTTCAAGAAGTATAAGCTACACTAAACTTTGATGCCAAAGGCACCCCATTTGAGAATGAATTCGGAAAGGATGTTAGGAGTGGCTTGGACTCCCCTGGAAGCATATAGTTTGGACTTGGTGCTCACCACTTGGGGTATCGTGAGGGCCGCATGGGCAGTTCAACCAAAGCGTGCTTTGGGGACACACCCTTGGGTTTCATTCCCAGCAGTGCCTCATACTGCAGAGGACTTCAGACGGGGTGTTCAGCTTTCCAGAACCCATGTCCTCTTCCTCTGTGAAAGAGGGTGACGGTCCTCCAAGCGCAGTGAAGGTGGAAGGAGGTAACACGTGCAAAACACCTGTCCACACTCTTGCCACTGAGACAGAGAGAAGGAGGGCAGGGTACCTGTGCTTCTGTTTATAGGTGGGTGGGAGCTGACTTGAGACCAGTGATGTTTATGAATAACAAGCCTGTGGAGGTCCCTGTGAGGAAGGGACTTGGTCGCCCACTCATCACGGTCCTCCTGGGCCTGAGGACCTGAGGATAGGACCTGAGGACCTGAGGACCTGAGCAGGCCTGAGGATAACTGCTTTATAACTATGAAAACTCAGAACACTCAGTGGGGTCTGGTTCAGCCAGTGCTGCTCACCAGCTGGGATTGGGGAGCTTGAAGATGGGTGTCCTGTTTTCAAGAACTGGCTGGTGGAGTTGATTAGGGGAGGGCAGGTATGAAAGCCTCCCCAGCAGGGCTGGTGGCACTCTCTCCTCTTCAATGCCACCTCACATGTGGCCCTGAGTGTCTTTCCTCTGAGCCTTGAGCACCTCCAGGCCGAAGTGGAGGCTGGTCTCCCTGAGTAGGCCCAGCAGGTTGGCCGGCACGAGAGGACAGTTGACAGGGGAGCAGAGGAGAAGGAAATGGATTAATGTCTGAATGGATACAGGGTAGACTCATGCTTGTTCCAAGGGGCAGGGCCGGGTGGACAGGTGGCTGCCCTCCAGGAGTGGGAGTGGGGTCAGGTACAACCACAGACCTACTCAGGATGCCTGGACATTTACTGTCCAGCTTCTACCCTCTGGCCACCTGTGCTGCAGGAGCTCCAGTCCCCAGGTGCTTGTGCCCTGGCACTTCTGATGCTGTGGAAGAAACATTGGCATGCTGAGTAGCAAGAATGCTCTAAACAAAAATGAAAACTTTCATAAATCAGGGTGCAAGCACATTAGAGTTGGCAACTGGGTCAGAACTGCCTGGTGGACACCTCGTGTGCTGTGTGAACACGGCAGCTGCTGCCTGGATGCTGACAGGTGCGGGGCAATGCTGAGCCATGTCCCTGGGTGGCAGGGTCACACAGTGTGGTCCTTCCTCCCCGACGGAATCCTGGAGGTGAAAGCAGGTGGCATAGCGCTCTGAGTCAGGGTGAGCTGTCGTGTCTATAGCAGTCAGGATTCTTTGGATGCAAACAATGAAGATGGAGGGCTCGTGTCTCACTGCTGTTGCTTCCTCTCTGTGCAGAGTCCTGTGGTCCAAGTGTGGCTGGCCCAGCCAACAGGGGAGCTCTCCAATCTCACGGTTCCTCCCCGGGGCAAGGCCTCTGCAACACCAAAGCCCTGAAGACTGACAGCTGTTGGAGCGTCCGCCTTCTTCAGCTGGCTCACAGCCTGCTGGTCGTCATGGCTGCTGGGAAGGGTGCTCTGCAGAGGTCTTCGGCTGAAAACACATGGAGGCTTAGTGAAGCTGACCAGGGCTGGAGCTGCAAGCCAGTGCTGCTGGAAAAAATGAACAACCTGGGCTCTGAGGCTGCCATGGGTGGTGGTGGCCGGGAGGAGACCTCTGCTGAGGTGGCACTGTCAGCAACCCCAGGAAAACTCAGACTGGGAAAGCCAATGGCCCAGAAGGTGTGCTGGGAACAGGGGCAGAGTGCTTTCACAGAGGTGCCTCGACTCAAGAAGAGGCTGGAGGGTGTGCAGGCCAAGGAGAGGGAGCATGATAACCCCACAGGCCAGCCTGGTCCCCAGAAGCTGACCCAGGACACCCCCAGGGACCTGGCTGACAGCAAGACCTCTGTGTGGCCCAGTGGAGCCCGAGGGGAGCAGAAAAGCGCCTTCAGCAAACCAGCCAGGTGTCCAGCAGGGAGACCTGGGCCAACCTCCATCTTCCAGGCACGTGGACCTGCAGATGCCCTTGGGGAGCTGTTGGGACTCAGCAACACGGTAGACGTCCCTTGTTGGGATCAGCTTTCGAATTCTAAGTTTTTGGTGGGTGATTTCTGGAACCTGCAGACATTGCCACAAAATGCTCCTCTCTGCAGTGCTTTCCTGGGGGCCCCCACACTGTGGCTAAAGCATGCCACAGCCCAGATGTCCACACCATCATCATCCTCTTCCACTGCCACTTGGGCCCTGCTGCCACCTACATTCACCTCCCTGGGCCTGTCCACCCAAAACTGGTGTGCAAAATGCAACCTCTCCTTTCGCCTGACCTCCGACCTGGTCTTCCACATGCGGTCCCACCACAAAAAGGAACATGTGGGGCCTGACTTACATTCTAAGAAGCTGAGAGAAGAGGCCCTCACGTGTCCCATTTGCCATGAGTATTTCCGGGAGCGCCACCATCTCTCCAGGCACATGACTTCTCACAGTTAGCGGGTGCTGTGGAACAGACCTGTGGATGCAGCTTCTAGCATTTGGCGGTGGGGCGGAGATGGCTCATTGGTGCTTCCTTTGAAAAGGCTCGTCATCGTTGTCTGCAGGGCTGTCTGCATTGGAGTTGATAGATGAACTTGGTCATCATTTGAAAAAGACGGTCCTTGGCTCTGATGCATTTTGATGGAAATAAAGTCATGAAATAAAATGACACACTTTCCTAACCTAGGGTATCAAGACTGCTAGGCACGGAGTAGAGGCCCTGCTCCTGTTCCATATGGAGGCAAGTTTGACACACAGCCTGGGCTTTGGAGGCAGACAAACCTGGATGCTAACCTTTCACATATTAGCCCTGACCTTGGACACATTGCTTTCACCATCTGAGCCCCAGTTTTCTTCTCTGCAAATGGAGAGGGCAACACCTGTGTCTTAGGGATGTTGTCATGGTTACGTGGGAAGGTGTGTGGAAAATAGCCAGGATGCCACCTGGCACAGTGTGATTCCTGAGTGAATGATATTTGTCATCATTGTCCAGATTAGTAAGCTGTTGTTCCATGACAGAGTCTAAGCGGCAAGCAACCCAAAGCATCTAATTCTCGCTCGAAGGTCTGTGGGTTGGCTGGGTTGGGTTGGGCTTGGCTGGGCTTGGCTCCAGGTTGCAAATTATATTTAGGTTCATGTTCTGTTACTCTAGGACTAGTGGGCTTCCTAGATAATACTTCTCTTATGGTCATTCCCAGAGCACAAGAAGGAAAATCCAAACACACAAGCACACCTCAAGTCTCTGCTTGGGTCACTTCTACTAGCAGCCTCCCAGCCAAAGCGAGTCAATGACCAAGCCCAAAGCAAGTGGGTGAAATGTGCCACCTGCCCACAGGGAAGCCGTGATGAGGGAGCGGATGTAAGGTCCTACTACAGAGGCATGAAGAGTTGGGACCAGTCATTCAGCTGACACACTTGGTCCATGGTTCTTCACATGCTGAATATGTGGAAGGGGGAGAAAGGAGCAACATCCCCCCACACACCCATTATCTCTCAGCAAGCAAGCATGGTGCGAAAGCTTGAGACTTAAAACATGGTGAGAATTCGGAGCGTTGTGGTTACCATTATCTACTGCATGTTGCGCTTCTCTCGGTGACTGTTCTTTTCATCTGCATTTGCCCTTGCAAACCTCAGGTCATAAACTCTGATGTAACTCAGGCCAGTTTGTGGGAAGGCCATTCGTTGGGAGCTCTTTCCAGTTAGGCGTTCTTTTGACTGGTTTCCCCTGCACTTTCAGGATTTGTTCATTTGACCAGCAGTGTCCAACCCTCTGGTGGGGCCTCTGGCACTGAGCTCAGGCTGTGGTTGGGAAGGAGCTGGTGTGGGCATCTCAGACGGTGGCCAGTGACCCGTCCAAACACCCTCCAAGCTCTATTTCTTCTCTCCCTCTCCATGCATACACAGGGTCCTGGTGAGAGCCTGTCCCACCCGGCCCACCCTCCTTCTCGCTCACCCTCTCCCCGCCTCCCACCCACACACCCAGCCATTCTGCACCCATCGCCAGCCATTCAGTCACCCATTTATTGGCCTTCCTGGGTACCCTTGCTGTGCCAGGCTCGGTGTCAGGCCCTGGGGGAGGCCCAGTGAATTCGGCCCATGGTCCTTGTTCAGGGTGCACAATGCCTGGTGTGCAGCATGAGGGATGCCAAACAAAAGCCCGTGTGGGGTGCCTGGCACACGGGAGCAGGTGCACCTCAGACCTGTGGGAGTAAGTGCAGTGCCCCCTGAGGCCTCCTGAGGAGCAGGGGCAAGAGCAGATCATCCAAGTCCAGCAGATGCTGGAGGTGCAGGTGGAGGGTAGTAGCTGGGGAGAAGGCGGGGGGTGGGGGGCAGAGCTACAGAGGCTCTAGGATGCTTCAAGGCTGGTGTGAGGAGGACTGAGTGGGGCCCTCTGAGATGGAGACGTAGGAAGGCCTCAAAGGACAGGAATTTGGCCCAGGGCACGGGAAGGATGGCTCCAAGAGGCACTTTGAGGGGGCCTCTGATTGCAGTGAGAAGGGTGGGCTGGAGGAGAGGAGAAGACCCCCTGAGTCATTTCCTCTGCATGTGGAAGGAGCCAGCAATGCTCCCTGCAGGCACCAACAGAGCATCTCCATTCTTGCAGGGAGGTTTGGAGGACCCCCTCCCTGAGAGAGAAAAGGGAGGCTCTGCAGGGTGGTCCCTTTACCCACAGAAGGGGGCTGGAGCTGGGGGGAACCTTCCCCTGCTATCCATGTGATACAGGAAAGGGCATCTTAGGGATGTGTGAACCTGAGGCTCCACACTATGTGGTGACATATAGCCTTTAACCTATGACAGGTGCAGGAGGTAGATATTTAATTCCCATGTTACTGAAGAAGAAACAAACCGCCGAGAGGGTAAGCTTCTTTCCTAAGATCATAGGTTCAGGAGAAGCAGCACAAGAATAAGGCCCCAGGACCACTCACATCCTTCCCAGCCTGCCACACATCTGCTCAGCATGTGGGTCACATGGTATCATGGATGGTTTAAAAAGTAGGGTTTAGGACCAGGCATTGACCCCTTCTGGAATTTAAACTTGCAGCCTGCATACACTCCCACATTTCCTATCACCCTTTTCTTAGCACTTCTCTATATCTTGATTGCTACACGAGTTTTCTGATTTGTGTTATTTGCAGCGTCTCTCCTGTTACTAGAACCTAAGCTCCACAAGAGATTTTTGCTGTTTTGTTCACTGCTGTATCCCCAGCAGGAAGGACAATGAAGGCACATAGTAGTTGTTCAACAGACTTTTGTTGCATGCATGAATGAGATGCCTAGATCTAGTCTCGCCCCTGACAAACCCTGAGCCAGCTGCTCATAGTGTTTTGACATCTGTCAAATGGTGTGCACAGCCATCCTCTTCTGGCTTATTGGATTGGTCCGTATTTCTGTGAACTCCCTTTTTAAAGCCATAAGTGCACTTAAGACCGAATAGAAATTTAAAATGGAAAGGGACTCTAGACTTCCAGTCCATCCTTCCAGTGTATAGGGGTGAGCACTGAGGTCCACTGGTGAGCTGATCTGCAAAGTGATGCAGGGCGAGTGGTGGTGAGGTCAAGGCTAGGACCCCTGAAATGCCAGTCCAGGCATCTTCCCTGACCCGCCCGCATGCCTCTAAGAACATTGCCTGTGGCCGCACACAGAATTACTACTAACAGCAACCGTGTCATTTTCAAGCAAGGGAGACATTTTGAAAAAAAAAAAAAAGTTAATCAAATAAAAGTTATGAAGAAGCATAACAGAACATCTTCTCCCAACTCAACTTTGTAAGATGGAATTCATTTTAATAAAAACGGATGGACATGCGAGGTGCTTTGCAGCCATTTAAATTGACAAACTCCAAGATGACTTATGGAGGTGAAGACTTTGCAGTTGATTAATGTGGCAGCTCCTACTTATCACCAGACTGGGTTCCCAAAGTCCCCTTGGCCGTCAAATCCTGTCTCATCCCTTCTTCTCTCCTGCCCTTCCAGCCATATTGGAGAGTAGTCACTTTTAATCATGACTTTGCCCAAGGTCCCTCTGCCACTTTCCATACTAGTTAAGAGTTTGGCTGGTGATGTTGCCACAAAACATCACATCAGCAGGTAAGAATTTTCCTCTATAATTCTGGAGTAAGAATTGCCACATTTCTTAAATTCTCTATATCTAATTTAATCTGCTCTGTACCCTGATCCTGTAGGTTCTGGTAGGATATGCAATCTGTTATTTTCAAATTCCTCCCCTGTCTTTCAAGTTTGCAGAAAGTTCCACAACATGCCCCACCTAAGAAGGTAATCTCTCTTAGCTTCATGCGGTCTCCCCATACTGCACCTCCCCATACAGAGGTGTCTTTGCCTCTGTCCTCCAATGTGTTCAGTCTTCTCTCCTCCACCTCTTCCAGGATCTTGGGCCTTGATGATTTTCTGCCAATGTTGTCATTAGGCATGTCACACAAAAACTATTGAGTCAATGCTCAGAAAGTCTTGGCTAATTTCTTGGAATAGGCTAGGGAAAATACCTTATAGTGGCTGGGAAAATGGCAATGTATACCTTTTTTTTTTTTGAATGTTTATTTTTGAGAGAGGGACAGAGTGCAAGTGGGGGAGGGGCAGAGAGAGAGAAAGAGAGAGAGGGAGACACAGAATCCAAAGCAGGCTCCAGGCTCCAAGCTGTCAGCACAGGGCCTGACAGTAGACAGCCCGATGTGGGTCTCAAACCCACGAACCATGAGATCACGACCTGAGCCTAAGTTGGACACTTAGCCGACTGAGCCACCCAGGTGCCCCAGCAATGTATGTATAGAAATCTCCCAAGCAGCAGCCATTCAAATAAGCTTTTTAAGAGACCCCAACATGTGCTAATGAGGCTAAAATAAGACATTCGGAATTCAGGTCCATTTTAGTTCTCAATTTTAACTAAAATCTGCCTCCTCTCCCACTCCCCCAACCCTCCCCCCGCCACCTGCTTTTATCTGGAAGAGAAGTGAAACTTTAACAAGTCTGGTATCCTGGATTTCAACTTCTGGCCCCTTCCTGAATCTTAGACCTTGAAGACAGGGTATCCTAGTCAAATAACTGTATAATTAGACTGTATAATTAATGAACAGGAGTGAAGTCCACTGAGCTTAGGGAAAGGGAGGGTAGAGGAGGGAGGTTGGACCTGACATCTAGAGCTCTTTTGTCTATGGTGAAGGCTCTTTAGCGCCAGGCTGAATGCAGGCCTCAAGAGAGGTTGAAAATCAGGACTGTATGTGAAATTGGTGATTCAGTTTTTAAAAAACCAATGCCCAGAATAACATGGATTTAAGGAAGCACATTAGTGGGGAGGGGGTGGGGGAGGGGGAGAAATGACCAGCAGTGGAAACCCCTGACTCCGTTATGCATCCAGACTTGGAAGAGGCTGGGTGCTGGGCCTGGCCCTATTCTTCTGGGCACAATAAGAGAACCCCTCACATATGGGAGAAATTCACCAGTTGTTCCAAGGCAAATTTTGCATCCTCCCTTTCCTTGGAAGGTTCTTGGCTCCCTCTGGAGGCTACAGACCTCCCCTGCAGGCCACTTCTCTTCAGAGAGGGCTTTACACACCCTGGTTAATTGTATAATTTGTTTATTTTGTTTGGAGAAGAAGTCTTGAGAGAGGACTAAAAATCATATCATAAGAGATAGATCCCATAGGAAAAAAACTTCTATTTTAAAAATATTCTCCAATAGGCTTTGATTTGTACCACTTCTTAGGGATTTTCAGACACTAATTTTTAGTGGGGGTTGAGAGGCAGTACATTCTGGAAGGAGGGTTGGGGTTCCTTAAATTTAACATCTTCTTCCCTGGTCATCTTGTGTTGTCCTGGGGTAGGAGACAGGAAGCCAGTGGCCTCTGATACCCTCGCTATTTCTAAGCCGCTTGGATTAGCAGGCTATTTTCACTTCCAGCCTCTCTCATCAGCAAGGAAGCAAGGAGGTCCTTAGGCCAGGTGGCAGTTAATCCTATGGAACCCAGGAAATGTGAGACAGGCGCC